ACACACAGAGCCTGGAGGAGGATTCGGGACAGTATACCATACCTTACTGAGAACAAGGAGGATTTCAGGTGAGGCCGGCTTGTAACCTCCTTGATGAGAATATTGCCTGCTGACAGGGCTGGAGGACGCTGCCCCTTGCACTCAGACTGCTAAGGTGAGAGAAGGCTGAGAACAGTCAGCCTCAAACCTTGGATAGGCCTGGTGTGAGGGGAAGAAGGAGGGGAAGACTAAACAGTCCTTTGGAAAAAGAGGGGCTGGTAGCCCAAAACAGGTAAGCAGCAACTTTGCAAACTATTTCCCTTTGGAAATTGTGGGCCCAGCCCCTGGCAGCAAAAGCAGAAGATATAAATATTAGACATCCATTGGGAAAAAATTGGAAAGATAGTAACTGTATGCTTAACCATATAAACATATGATTTTGTGTCCTTTAAAAAAACTACTTAGTATGTTAAATATTCTTTGAAAAAGTAAAATTTGAAATTCAGGATGTTAAATCAGATTTAAGGGTTGAGAATCTTGTCTCCTATTTTGTCTTTCCGCTTAAGTGGTCAATTAGAGCCTAGAATTACTTTTCCTAACTGAGGGCACTGAATCTTGGCTATTATATTCATTAAAAGGCATTTCTAAGTACCAAAGCAACTCTAATTTCTATTAGGCAACCATTCACACTAACAATGCCCAGCTAATTATTGAAAATGGATATTTAAAATTATATACTACAAATAGCTTTGTAGCTGGGATCCTTTTTCTTTTTCAAAGCAAGGACCTTAGGACCAGATAAAGGGGCCAGATTTGTTTCTGTTTCTACCACATTCTCGTTGTTTTGCTGTGTATGAGTTATTTTACTGCTCTTAGTCTTCACTTTCTCAGCTGCAGAGTGGAGATAATACGGGGCTCCTTTTTGCTGGTTTCAGTGACTATAGAAAATGCATATTAGACACTTGGCACAGTGTCTGTAACACAGAGATTAATCATTAATTTTCTAAATTGTATCATGGAAGACAGGGACCAAACATTGGCTTATCATTGCATTTAAAAATAATGCATCATGCCCCCATATAATAAGGGTTCAACCCATGTACACTGGATGTGTTTTATATCTTGCCATAGCTGGGGACGGGATGAACAGAGGTGGGGATATTGGGGAAACAGTCGGTCCTGAATGAACTCTACCCACTGAGGTTTTATGGACTCCACCTCCACCTCCATGCCAAAGAGATCCAAGGTGCTAAGGATTACAATTCCTATCGTGCCATGAATTGGCCACAGCTCTTGTCTTTGTGAAGTGGGGATTGCTGGGAACTAAGGATGGAGTTAAGCAGACATGACTGATATAAAACCTAACAAGTGGGCCTGGAGGTTTTGCTTGCTTTCACTGAGCACTTGGGGGCCCAGCTCAGGCAACATTACCAGGAGGACACATTGACCAATCAATACATCTCTCTTTCTTCCTCCTTCTGCTCTCCCTCTTTTCATATACCTTGTAAATAAACCTTTTTATTAACCTTTCTATATGTTTCTTTTTCTGAATTTTTTTTTTAAGAACTCGGGTGAGGACTCACACCAAGACCATCCCATTTCCCTTTAGAGTTTCCCTGCAACAGAGACGCTGTTGTTTTTTAATCTCCACATATGCATCCCTCTTCAAAGAACTCAAATGAACAGTGTCTAAATTTCTGGTCCAATCCCCACCACAAGTTCTGTGGCTTACACTCATTTAAATTAAAAATGTTAGAATCAAGAGGTAGAAAGGTAATGGGAATTTGGGGCCTGATAGTTCCCCTCAATTCCCTTAGGGTCCAACCACTTCTTGTACTACTTACTCACTCACTGCAGGGACAAAGTTGGAAGTCCAGTCTCATTCATTGGAAGGATTCAGTATGAGTCATGTTAAGATCAAGCGTCTTTCCTGCAGACTTGATTCTGAGCACCACCACTTGATTTTAGAATAACATATTGATCTTTGTCTTCTTTTTCACTGTCAAGTTACAGAAATGGCTACATGAGATTTCTGCAGATTAAGAATGTGTTAATATTAACACCTCCACCATTTTTTTTTTTAATTTTTTTTTTAAGATTTATTTATTTATTCATACAGAACCGGGGTACAAGCTAGAGATGTGGAGGGTGAGAGGATTCACCAGAGACAGAGAGGGGAGCAGAACAGGCAGATCGATGAAGTACACTGCTGAGGGGAGCAGCGGGCGGGTCAGGAGAGGTCTGCCACGCCATGCAGTTCACCTCCCTGGCCAGGGATCAAACTTGTACTGCAGTGGCTGTGATAGCTTTATAGTGCTATGCTTTAACCTGTTTTGCCACCAGGGAGGGCCCCTAACCAAGAGTCTTTCAGGATGTTCTTCTATAGTCTGTCTAAATCCTCATGGGTGTAGAACCCATGAGGAAAGAACCCTCATGGGAACTCTGCTACACTCACAAGTCCCTCTTTTGGAAGACTTACTTCTAATCATTCCTTTAGCTCATGCCATGTTTCATTTGCCTCCTTGGTCTTCGTAACTTAAAATAGCACCCCTTTTGTATTAAAATGAAAAGAAATGTGCAAGGAACTAAAGACCAGGACCCCGGCTTTTGATGCTGTATCCAGGTCGAGAAACAAATTTTTTGTTTTTGTTTTTTACAAGGGATTGAGGAAAAGGGGTGGGTAAACAGGAGGCAGAATCTTGGCACAAGCTGTGTTGAAAAGGACCTGGGTTCCATGCTATATCCAAGTCCATGTTTTACTATTGAGCCATGAGGTTCTCCAGTTTCAGAGTCAGCAGCCAAGAGGAGGGAGGGGAAAGGTTTAAAATGGGTGGACAGTGCCTTTGTCAGACTCTTCCCTAGTTACAGGTCTCTACCTGGTCCTGTCTCCTCAGAGTCTTTTACTTCCTATCTGCCTCTTGCAACTTATTAGTGAGGCCTTGGGGGGGGGGGGCAGGGTAATTGGGAAATAAGAGAATCAAAAGCTCAAACCAAACAAATCAATTTCTCATTAACAGGCTTGGGAAATGTTGGAGAGAAAGAGACCTGGCATGTGGGCTGAGATGCCTCTTTTGGGCTAAGCATTGGCTAGCCTGAGTTCCCAATAGGAGTCTGAGTGTCTAGGGAGTTACAGGTAGTTTACTTGGGGGTGAGTCCCAAAGATTAGGAGTGGTGGATGGGGGAAGAGTCAGAGACAAAGAGGGACAAAGGACCCATGAGGATATTGTTGAGCTGACAAGTTGCGCACTACCATGGGCAAGCAGGATTCTATGCTGCAAGCACTATGTAGACTGTGTCTTGGAGTTGCCTGTCAGCAAGAAGGACTGATACTTCTTCACCAACTCCTGCCTGCCTTGGTGGAAGGCTGCCCCATGTGGTGTTATGTCCTTCGCATTTCTAAGTGTATGCATTTGTCAGGGTGGGTAGTGACAGAGAAACCCTGAGGTAGGAAGATGCCAGATGCAGCAGAGACAAGGTGCTCTCAGCTTATACCTGTAAGCATTTGGTTGCCATAGCTAAGCTGGAGTCGGAAGATGGCTGGGGGGATATGAGGTCAGCCCCAGAAGGAGTCTGATACAACCGAACACCGCAGACATCATCTCCCATGAGTGTCCATTTAGCCCTTAGCCTCTACAAGCAGGGTGTATGGTTTTCTTAAGTGAACCTATTCATTTCTCCTTTAATTAACTGCTTTTCCAGCAATGCATACCCCTCAAAGGGCAGCCTGGCAGTTAGTGATGAGTTGGCTGGGAAAATGTGCAGAGGCTATTCTGAAATATAGCACTCCAGTACTCTGGCTTGAGTCTGTGAAACGGGCATAGAGAACTAAGCATATCCTCCCTTTATGATTCTCCAATGATTTTTTATTTTAAGATTTATTTGTATTTAGGTCCTCCCTGGTGGTGCAGGGGTTGAAGACAGCGCTATCAAGTTTTCACTAGTCACTACAAGCACCAGTCAGGCAGGGAGCTGACCCGCATGGCGCAGCGGACCTCTCTGGTCTCTCTCACTGCTTTCCTGAGCCGTGTATTTCAGTAGATCTGCTTGTTCTGCTCCCTGATGAATCCTCTTACCCC